CAGGACTCCCCCAAATAGAGCCAAACAGACTGATTTTTTCTGTCTCCCTCTACAAACTTCAGCATCTCCATCCCGTCCCCAAAGTCTGCTGTCTCCCGTGGGATGCCCTGGTCAGCTCTCACAGAAACGGGGGCTCTGCTCTCACATTGCTGACCACAGTGCCCGATGCCCACATCCTGTCAGGTGTCTCCCAGCCCAGCCCATGGACACCAAGTATTTCAGCGTGGCTCAGCACAGCAGGAGGATTGCAGATAAGGGGAAGTCCAGCCAAGGGGCTGCGTCGCTGAGGCAATGCTGGGAATAACACCCACCTTCTTGTGCCAAATATTCGTTCTCGACAATCCGGGCCAGGCCAAAATCAGCAATTTTGCAGCAGAGCGTCTCTGAGACGAGGATGTTGGCGGCTCTTAGGTCACGGTGGATGGAGTTCATCCGCTCGATGTATGCCATTCCTTCTGCCACCTGGGAGAGGAGGAAGAGCCCTGTCTTAATCCATTTACTTTTGTGTGACAAAGTGTTGGTCTGGCTGCATCCTACCCATCTTGACAAATACTCGTATATAAACAATGTGTGCTGGATTGCCAGCATGTTTATGGGCCTCCATACATCCTCCACAGATGGATAGTAGATAGACAGATAGTAGATGACAAATGATAGATAGATAGATAGATGCTGCCTGTGTATGTCTACCTGTGTGCAGCTCTGCCAACGTGCCCGCTGCTTCCAAAAGCTTTAAAAAGGCAGGTCAGGCAGAACAGAAGCATTACTCTCTGTTTTGCTCAGAAGTTGTGGCTTTGAGACATGTCTGAAGTGAGATGCAGAAAGTTAAAGCAAATCTGAACCCACATCACTGGATTCACAGTTTCTGCCACAAGATTTTTCCCTCTAGTTGGGATTTCAGTCATGAACATTGCAGATTAAATATATGCATTAAAAAAGAAAAAAGCTCAAGGAACTCATCAGTCTATCAGTCACGGTAGAAAATGTCAATTGTAAGACAACTAGATGTTCTTCAGCAACTTCCTCAGGTCTTTCTAGCTGGTCTGCTTTGGAGTGGGCACGAGATCTCTGGATGTCTCTCAACAATAAAACTGAGACTAGTGCTTGCTTTTCTTTTGCTGGATTCTGCCTAGGACCCAGCACACCACATAGTTCCCTTCTGATAGCTACGTGAAGCAAAACAGCAGAAAACTTAGGCATTCATTAGAATATGACTGGCATGGGAGGCACATCCCTGGACAAATCCCTTATCCTGGCCCTCTCCGCCTTCTTCAGCCACCGCCGGACTTTTGATTTGCAGAGAATGTACTTTGGGAGGAATTTACTTTTCTTCTTTTCTGGATTGTCTCTGTGTCTAGCATTCTGGAGCAGGGGACAACACTGGGGAGGCATCTAGCACGTGACGAGTCCCTGTAAATGATGGCAAGAGTCTTGTAATGCTAGGTGCAATAAAAGGTGCTAGGGGATTTAGCAGAGGGAGACTGAACAGTTTCTGTATCAGCCGAGTCTCAGATTTGGGATAGGCTTTTATCAGAGACTGAGTGGATACACGCAGCCCCTGCTAGTAATGGTTAGCACTTATTTAAGCTTTCATGTGCCTGCAAGTGAGGGCAAAGCAATTTTCCACTCCATGCAGATTCACATCAGCATCTTTGCTTGCATGTGGTTTTAAACAGGATACTAACACATACTTTCCAACGCTGTGTTTCTAACCTGTGTCGACACCCATTCAGTGCAAGTGCTGTTTGCTGCAGTGGAAAATGGAAGAATTGATGTCATTTCCTGTCCTGATGTTAATAAGATAGTACCCAGCAATGGGTTCGTTCCAGCCCAGAATGCATTCAAGCATGTGCCCTTAAAAAATGACCACAGGATCAAGTGCATCAGCTCAGAGCTTTCTAATTTTAACTCCTGCGGATGCTATTGAATCCAAAATTGCGCTCTAGAGGATGGGGCGCCTGTTGGGCCATGAAGTCATCAGGACACCACAAGTAAATAGATTGTGAAATGAACCAAGAGACGTCCCTCCTCCTCCTCCCAGAGATACTGAGTGACTTTTTGAATCCTGCTGCTGTGGGGAGGTTGGAGATGGGGATGGGAGGGGAGTGATGAAAGCTGGCCTTCACACTGACAACCGTGTCTCCACGGGTTTTGAGGGACGGGCAACAAGCTTATTCTTGCCCGGCGCATTGCAGAGAGCTTGTGTGGCGATATTGCATGGCTAGGGTGTGGGGTTTACAGGAGCCCGTGGTGACATCCACGTGCACTTAATAAACCCGAATTACTGAGGCGGACTGTTCGACCTGCTCTACACCAGTGTAACGGAGCAGCTTCTGGTCAGCTCATGTCACACGGTCACATTCAAGGCTTCAACTCTGAACTCAGAGCGGAAGTTTGGGTGCATAGCTCCAAAGGATGCCCTGGGACAGGTCTCTCCTTTGCGCTACAGCTCCATCTTGGCTCCTGCAGCCAGTGTGTTGTCAAACCTATTACCCTGTTCCTTAGGGCAGGCAGGTCCGTTGTCCTCTCTCCAAATACTTGCACGCACCTGCCTGGAGATACTTTGTTATTCGAAGTGCTCAAAGCAAGTTGTAAACTGTGTTAAATAAATGCACTAGGACTTGTAGCTTCTGCTGTCCATTCCTCAAATCTGGATGCAACATTAGCCAATAGTTTTGCTATGGAGCTTTTTGGGTCACCCCTGTGGCTGCAATTGAGTTCAGATTGCTCTGGTTTTGGTGTTTTCTTATTCCATATTAATATATCAATCCACATTCTCTGGTTTAACTCTCCTCTGCAAGCCCAAGTGTTCTGTAACATAGATGAATTTGGACCCTTCTGCTTATCATCAGGAATTTAAAACAAACCCCTGCTATTTTTTTGGGGAGAACGAAATAAGAAAAGAATGAAAAAGAAAGAATGGAGGAACGCATGAAAGAATAAAAGAAAGAAGGAAGTGGAAGAAAGAAAGAAATGGACAAGAAAGGAAGGATTTTGAACAAGGAGGCTGCATCTGGATCTATAACCTATCACAGGCAACAAAGGTAAAACTGCAGATAGTTTTATCAGTAATGAAAAGGAAAAGCACTGAAATATGCTCCTCTACACCACTCATGGAGGTGAGAAGTGGAATAAAAATAACTGATTTAAGGCCTTTAAATGTTTTGCTTCAAGGTAAAACAAGAAGCAAAATCTTTCACTATTGTACAAGATTTGCTGAAACATTAAGATCCCCCACTCTTTAACGCATTTTAAAATAATGACGTATGATGGCAGAAATCAACTTTACACAGCATTTGCTCAGGCTGGCTTTGGCCCAGAGAGGCTGGGTGGTCTTGTGGGTAAATTCCAGACCCGCATGTCAAGACAGCTGTATTCAGCCGTGACACTGACTCTGCATGGTTTTTTTTTTCAACATTTCCAAAGTTAGCTTAACTCTGCTCGGGAGTGAGCCAAATTCTGGCAACAGCTGGCTAAGACAAGAGTGGAGGGATTTTGCCAGTTTCATCCTTCATATATAACATGTTGCCAAGACACTGCCACTCCGGGTCTCAGTTTCCCCAGCTTTGACTCTTTTGAGTTCAGATGCCCTTTTGGGTCAAGAAGATATGGAACAGCTACAGCTATTAACATTTATTGCCTGGGGGGTCTTTGAGGGAAGCAACTCTATTAAGGCAAAAGTTTGTTCTCATAGTAGCAATATTTCTAGATTTGGCAGACAGAGCATCCTTTGTGCCTAATCATCAGAAGGGAAAGTCTGCTGAAAGGCAGCATGTCTCCACATCGAAAGTCTTTGTTTTGAGATTTCTCTTCCTTTTGGTAACAAGAGAAACAAATTTATTTGCTGCTCAGCAAGATAGAAAAAAAAATACCTCCAGCACTTCACTAAGTTACTCAGAGGGTTGTCCTAAGAAGCAAGAGCAATGCTGAACTGTTATCCACACCAGCGCCAAGAGTGCTGAGGGAGAAACCCTTAGACAGCACACCAGGAGGTGCTGTTTTTCTCCATGAAACTGATACTCTGACACACACTTTAAACTTGCAAGAATTTCACCGGGACTATAATAAACCATTCCTCAGGTCCATTTCCTAGAATCTGTTCACGAACCTGAGCAGACATATCAATAAGTTTTGGGAGACTCAGTTGGCTTCCTTCTTCTGTCTTCAAGTAATCCAGCAAACACCCTGCAAATGAGCAAAGATTGTTGAGACTCTTCTGACGAATTGTATGAATTTACTTTCCCTGGTCCTTCACTGAATATAAGAACAAAAATCTACCTGCAGCCCAGACAAAACTCAAGGAACCACAGTACCTGTCCCTTAGAGCATCTTCCATTAGGAAAGTTCCTAAATGCAGCAAATTTTGCCCCCTCCCTGCCTCCTCGACCTTTTGCAAAATCCTGGGCGTTCTTCACTCAAAGCCTCATAGACAAGAGGGGCAGAAGAAAGGACAATTTCACCATGAAGGAAGTAAAAAATCTGAAACAAACTCCCAGCAGGAACGGTGGAGACCAGAACCTTAAGCACTCTTCAAATGGAGCATCATCATTTTGAGAAGGGACTTATGAAATGTGAGACCGTAAGAGGCAGGATTTGATGATCCAGGAAATCCTTTCCAGTGCTGTAAACAACCTTCTAGATCACTTCCTCCTCACAGATCTGGGATAATCTCCTCCACATTATGCATGGGAGTACCAGTTGGCTCATTGACCTGCTTTTGCAGAAATTCCAACCGGAAAGCTCCTTGAGGCGCCTTACCATTGGCCATGTACTCTGTGACAATGTAGATTGGCTGCTTGGTGACTACAGCATACAGCTGGACCAGTTTGTTATGCTGGAGCCTCTTCATCAAGTTTGCCTCTGCCAAGAAGGCATCAGGATCCATGCTGCCCTCCTTCATGGTCTTCACAGCCACCTTGATGTTGTTCTTGTAGTAGCCTGCAGGGAGATAATGATGCCCTGAGGAACTGTGGCTTCTCTGCAGGCTCTCTTGGGCTGGGCAATAAGGAACACAAGAGCCTGCAGAGTAAGGAGCAAAAAACCACAGCAAGAAAGTGGAAGAAAGTGCCAGGGAAGAGGGCAAAGATGTGCTCAGTATTGTTTCTGACAGGTCTCAGAGGTGTCTTGTGAGACCTGTGCTTTTGGGAGTGGGAAATGTTTCCCCATGCACATTGCCATCTAGCTCAGCAGGGCTGGAGACCAAACACTAAGGGGATTTAGCTGGTTGCTTTCCTGTGCTGTATGTGGGTAGGGAAAGAAAGTGGACTTTGTGGATGCTGTTTCAGAGCAGCTGTTGAGAACGGCTCAGAGATCAACACAAGAAGCAAGTGGTAAATCTGAGTGCCAGTGGGCTCCTAGCAACAAGCAGGGATGAGAGGAGAAAGGAGAGACACAGCACAGCTGCCAAGCAACGTGGCTTCACAAGGAGTCAATGCTGCTCTAGGTGAAGGAGGCCTGTGCAATGAACCTATCCTGACTCAGTTCTCCCAGCCTTGCAGGACTCTTCCTATGGGAAATCCCTGGGGCCTTCCACCGGCTGCGGTTTGAAATAATCTGAATGCTGGAGCATTCACTTGGTTTCTGGGCAGGGAGAGCCCTCCAAGCTGAAGGGACCCTCAGTCTCAGGCTGCGATTTCATTACAGAGTCATCACTTTTCTTTGCGTCCCTATCTCTCTCTCTGTCCTGGCCCTCTGCCCACCGCTGCGTCCCAGTTCCCCCAGTAAGGAAAGCCAGGATTTTGCAGTCGGGAGATAGACTCAGTCTTGTCCTGCTTGCACTCCAAATTCCCAAGGCAACAAGCAACCACAAAAAGTATGGGAAAGGAAGCTGAGCATGTCCCACTTCCTCTCCCACTGCTCAGCAATGTGCAGGGACACATAAGGGATTCAGGCCTGGTTATAAAGTGAGGCAGAGTCCCAGGGAAGCAGAGAAGGTGGGGCAGTGTCATGCGAGTAGCCTGCTGTATGCAGTTTAGGATCCCACATTCGTGGCCAGGATCCCTAGGCAGAAGTATGAGAACATGCCATAGGAAGCAAGTATGCAGTTGTTCTGAAAGCCCTTGCAGATATCTAGCCTGTGAAGCCCATGTTTAGTCACTGATCTGTACAAGCACAACCTGTTTAATCCTTCCCAAGTGTAGAGCATCTAGGGCTGCTACCGCATGTGTATCCAGAAAGTATGTTCTCCTAGTTTAGGATCCACAGACCCAGGTAAGTCCTGTCTTAGAGAAAGAGGATTTTCCATCCCTGGGCTACATGTTTCTTTTCTGTAGTGGAGTGCCTTGTACTTACCCATCCACACTTCCCCAAACTGCCCACAGCCAAGTTTCTTCACAAGTTTCAGAGACTCCCGTGGGATCTCCCATTCATCCTGTGCCCAGGGTCTCTGGGGAACCAGAGATATGCAGGGAGCTGTGAGCCTCTGACACAAGCCATCCCCCTTCTCTGTGTAAGGAGAAATCACAGGAGAGTTCAATAGGATGGATCAACCCTTTAGCCCCACATCTAGCTTGCTCCTCCATTTGCACATGCTAGGAAAAACTCAACCCATGGGAGGGACACCTCCATAGTCGCACCGCAACTGTTTCAGTCACAGTGATCAAGGCACCCAGAATGGACCTACTGCAAGGAAAAGGCCCAAGGAGAGTCATATAAGAGCAAATTCCCTTGCCCAGATTATTCAAACCCTGCCTCCTGCATTTCCCTTCAGCATTCTCCCCCTTCTTCGCCCGCTGGAGAAACTCCCTGGCTACACGGCTGTGGGCAGAGCTGGTCGTCACAGTGCCCAGGGAGGAAGGTTCAGGCTTGGGTGCCCAAGTTCAGCTTGGAAAAGCACACCTTGCCCGTGAGTGTGGATGGAGCAATGGACTGGTGACCCTGTCCTTGCCCTGCCCACACATCCACCTTCTGCTAGGAGACAGACCCACTAGGGAATGCAAGCAACTTACGGCTGTAATGATGGATTAGCTGTGGCAGGGTGGAGAAAGTAGTCCTGGGGGAGATGTAATATCCCCCTCCATCTAAGGTGCGGATCCTGTAGTGTTTGATGATGTCCCCTTGAGCAGAGTTGCTGTCTCTCACAGACAAAGAATAGGCACCTGGAGAAAGAGCAGAAAAAGGAACTGTGAGGACAAGCAATGCCCGATGCAGGGACCAGCTACCTCCTCTGTCTTCTGCAGACTGCAACTGCAATAGATCCCTGCAGATCCCCACTCTCAGCCCCTGCTGAGGCCTCCTCAGGGCAAGTCCTGCCAGGCTACAAGCTTCCTTCTCTCTGAGTCAGGAGCAGGGGATAAAGGTTCGCCAGAGCCTAGCTGGACCTGTTGGGGTTTCGTTGAGTAAGACCTGCCTATGTAATGGCCAGCAGCCCAAGGGAACAATATGGCAATACGAACATCATTAGTGCATTTCCAGCCAGAACAATCAGATTCTCTTAAGGTCATTAAGGTCCTCTGCTGCAACTCCAAGTCTCCCATCTGAGCTCTCTCACCCTTGCCATCCCATTGAGATGAAACAAGTGACTGCAATCTGTCCAGCTTGCACAAACACAGGACTGACAATGAGTTGAACCACCCAGCCAGCATCTC